TGCCTCTTTACCTTGAAGGAGGCACTGGTGTGCCCCCTTCTCAAGAGGCCACCTTTGGACCCAACCTGTTAGACAACTTTTGTATAGTCTCCAACCTCCCTTTTTTGGAGAAGGCTGTTAAGAGGGTGGTTGGTGCTCTGCTTCAGAGGACTCTGGATGTAGTGGATTATCTGGACCCTTTTCAGTCCAGATGGTATCACTGGCCTATCTGAGATTGCTGATGTCTTTCCCAGCAATTTCAATTCCATTTTCTATTTTTTATAGTTCAGCATTTCTCATGAGGTAATCTGCATGTAAGTGTGACAGTAAAGAAAACTCTATGGACTTGTTGCCAAGTGTCCAGCACCTGATTCATAGGCACACACACAATCCCTCCTAACCACCTTGGCACACCCTTTTTCCAATTTTCAACTAATTAGTTGCCCCATATTGTATTCTAACTATTGCATCCTAGACTCCATACAAATTCTTCAAAAGGCAAATGAGGTAATCCAGTATACCCATATTTTTAAGGATTATCCAGAGTTTATTGTAGTCTACACAGTTAAAAGCCTTAGTGTAAGCAAAAATAGAAATCTTTTTGGAACTCCTTGGCCTTTTCTACAAACTATCAGATCTTAGCAATTTGATCCTGACTGCCTTTTTCTCTTCTGAATCTAGCTTATATAACTGGAAGTTCTCATTCCTTGTATTGCTGAAGTCAGGATTGCAAAATCTTGAGCATTTAGTCAATGTAGTGATACTATGTTTTGATTTTAAAAATCACCTTTTGTTATATTTAGCAAATAACATCCTGACAATACTAAAATATTACATTCCAGAAATTAAAAGTTTTCAGCTACATAGAAAAATTAGCATTATTTAGGTTGTAATCATTCAAGGGATACTAGGACTGTATGTAGAGTTTCAATGATATTCCACCTTGAGCATGTTTGCACAATTAATAATTTATTATTAACAAATTAAAGCAATCTGCATCTGCTATAAAAACAGGAATGAAAGACATTTCTATGAGTTTGTTTACATAGAGTTGGATGGGAAAAAAAACTAGAAGGCAACCAGTTATGCAACCAAAGGTTTTTGTTGAAAAGTCTCAATAAAAATGAGAATTATAGGACCATAGGTTTTAAGATACACTGTATCCAAATAAACATTTATTATTACTTTCACATATAATAACAGCACAAGTCAATCATAAAAAGCTAATCGCATATACAGTAGAGTTGCTAAATCAAATTGGTGAAGCTATAGATTATTTGGAGCAGTCAAAATCAATTAAAAAAGGAACCAGTTGAATAAACATTTTGTGATGTTATAATGAAAATGCTATGTATTATTATTATCATGTATTATTTATGCATTATAACCTGTTTTGTTCATTAAAATCCTCATATTTGATGGCAGCTATGTAATCAGCATGGAAACACCATTACATTTCTATTCTACTATCTTTATTGACAATCTGAATATTCTGTGCACATTATCCTCTTAGTTACAATCAACCTGGGTAAAGCACAATGAAATAAATACATGTAGTCAATTGAGATGGACTGATCAAGCTATGTCTACAATTTGTGAATTGTCTATGTTTTGTTCATTTTTTGCAATGACATGATTTTTTGTGCATACAAAGATATATCTTAAAATTTGCATGTGAACACATTCAGTAGCTCAAATAAAAAACAATATTAACTGTAATTTGTAAAACAGTCTGAGTTACCCCAAAACAATATTGCTATTTCTTACTTGCATAGCTGTTTAGATAAGAACTATTCATGGATTAAGCTCGCAAAGAACAGTCAGTCAACTAGCAACGCTTTACTATTCAAATATAGGTAAATAAGGAAGAAATGGATCAAAGACACTTTTATTTATGTCTAGTCATAAAAATACGAATGCCTCCATTGCTGAATTTAAAATTCTGACTTATTAAAATCCAGGTCCTAAAACGTTGTATAAAAAGTTGTATAATTAGATACTATTTTATATATTTTAGCTTTTTCTCTTGTTTTTACATACAGGCTCTTTCCACACTGTTCTACATTCACTGAAGCCTATGTCCTACAAAATTTCACAAGAAATACCTTTTATCATACATATTTTCCTAATAATCAGAAACAGGCAGCACCAACAGCACTATTTAATTCACTTTTCTATCTTGCCATGCTGTGACATCCTTTCCTCTACATAGAGCTATTTTCTACCTATTCAGATCATAACTATATTGGATAAGAAATACATCGTTAATATTTTATAGCTCCCTTTTAAATGAAAATTCTAGATGAAAAGCATGAATGATAACGCACAGACACATGAACAAATACACACATAAATCATAATCATATCCATACTTCCTCTGGTTTAAGTTAACATATTCCCAAATAAGCATGTAGAGGATTGCAGTCCTAGTAAACCTAAAAAGTTTCAAGTATAACATGTCCTTCTGTGCCAAGACCTGGATAGCAGAATCCTTAATATGTCTTCAAATAGTAACAGTATTTTTCAATAGATATTAACAATAATAATTACTAAAATATTTAGGGTCTCTTTTTTTTCTGTTTTGAACATTGCTTAAATAAGTGGTAGTGCCATCAATTTTTAGTTTGGTATTAGTGTGGTTCTCATGATATATTCTGTCATCTAAAGTTACAAAACTCTAAAAATGACACACAGTGACATTTTTAACCAACATGGTCAAAGCAGAAATTAAACATGTATTCAAGAATGTAGAAAATTATCCTTAATCTATGTTCTGAACTTGAATGAAGCAGTAGCAACTGGATGAGAGATTTTGGATACTCACTACCTCCCCAAGAATGATCAACAGACAGATTTCCTCTTAATTAATGCATTCAAATTATACAGAATAATATCCATTTTCATCACTGACAAATTCAAATCACATAACCCTCAAAGGTTCAAAACTGGCATGCAACAATAACAAAATTAATTCTTTCATGTTATATCATATCTAATTTCCAAGTTACAGTTCCATAATAACTAGTTAATATCATCTCAAGCAGAAAATTGAAGATTGACAAATATAAGAACTATCATCGCTAGCAAGCATTCCTTAACTATTGAACAACTTTACTCTTGTCTTCAGTACTGAACTGGAGAAAAATATTCAAAATTATAATAGAAAAAGTAATTGTGTCTTGCATATTGACCATTTTACATTGGCCTCTGAGATACAGCTGTCACACAACTACTGCAAGAAGTATTTTTCCACTAATACATGTAGAAGCAAAACTATATTATTCATCAACACAAGTTGAAAGGTACCATGCTGTGTGAGGCATGGAGGAAGAGAGCTGCATTCATAGCATATTAAATTATTTTATGATAAAGCAAGCTGAGCTCATGGGTATACTATAAATGAATTTAGATATTGGAAAACAATAACATATTTAAATAAGCACTGATTTAAACTTTTCTCCTGAGATGTGAAAATTATGACAATTATCATGACAATGAATCTATGACCTACCTTGCAGAAGAGCTCCATTTCTCTTGATAAAGGTGTTTCCTGGCCAAATGGGTGGACTCGATGTGCTAAAGTTAAAAAAAGGGTGTAAAAAACCATTATTTATATTTGGTGATTTGCAAATTGCCTAATCATATACTGTATTTTATACATTTTATAAATTGTGGCATAAATTTTGCTTAATCAAGAAAACATTTACATTTTGAACAGTGGAATTATCTCTTTATAAAAAAATCATATCATATTAATCATATTCTATTTGCAAAAGAAAAACAACAACAGAACCCAATATCTAGCCATGCACATTTAAAAAAGGGAAACTAGAAACAAAATATTTAACCTATGTACTATTTCTTAAATAACATTCATAACACAGTAAAACATGCATTAAGTTTAATTTTAAAAAGCCATTTTACATTCTTATATGCTTTAAGACAATTTTAAAGAGGACTGAATAAGCTACTGATCTGGCTCTGAACCAGATACCATTTTATTTTACTCTAGGACAACTACTACTCTTAAAAACAGCAGATAGGCTGTTCTAATCTTTATGAAGTTTAAACACGCATGTAGAATATCAATATGTAACTAAATGCAAGTGTCCAGTCCAAGCAAACTAACAATAAGCTAATTTCTGTGTGTGTAGTCAGATCAGATATATAAATCATTTAAAGACTTATGAGTAGTGGAACAGGCTATGCTCTTGATGGATATATGACATCAGAAACATTTTGCCAGAACAGGAACATTTTGGGATGGAAGTATAATTTTAACATAAGTTTACACTTTGGGATATTTCTGGTCTGAAAATTGTAGATAAAATAAAACCAGAGTAAAACATAAAAGCCAATAAAATACAAGCACCATAAAGTGGTAAATGTAATGGGCTCTCTCAAACATCTCTATCTTTAAAAGCTTCTGGAAGGCCAACAATAAGAGCACCAGTCTTATCTCAAGGGGAAAAGCATTCTTTAATATTGCTTTGCAGGCCCCGGTCCCCTTCACCTCCTCTACATAGGGCCCATTAAAAGATGTTGATGGGAGGTCCGCAATGGATAAAGTGAATAAGCCACTGCGATGCAGAGAAAGCAATCCTATAAATATGTTGGTACCATGGCATAGAGGTTTATAGGTCAAAAACAGCACTCTCAGTCGCATCCATTAACTTATCAATAACCAATACATTGTTCAAGTGTTTAGCTATGAAGTAGAGTCAAGGAGATAACCTTGAGGAAAACAGGCAAGAACCATTATATAAACAAACAGGGCTGAAACATTCCTTAAGTCCTGGGAAACAAGGTAATACATATTCGGAAGTGGCAGGCTCTTCCCTGATTCACTGGAATATAAAGAGGGAAGGGAGGTAATCAGACTTTCAAGATTCTCAATAAAGTATAGTTCTAGTCTTCCGGTGAACAGTAATCTGTTTCCTGATCTTGCCTACCTTGGAAGGGCTGACATATAAGTTAAAAGAATTGCTTTGCGGAGTTCTGTCCATACCACTACAGCTGCTACTAGAAAGTAGTATTCACAGACTTCTACTTGAGCCCTCCCCAAGGGATTGTAGTTAATATCTCTAAATGTATATATGAAGCCTGTGGACAAGATGATTTGCAAATTTAAAGCTAGTTATTGCCAATACACTAAGGGTACTTAGCTATATATATTTTTTGCGAGCTAAGGCTGGACATCTCCAAGGCCATAAAAAACTAGAAGTGGGGAAATAAGCCAAAATTAAACACAGATAAGAAGATATGATTCCAGGTGTTGGACTTCAGGAGATATGCCTCTTCTGGATAGGGTTACATTCCCTCTTAAGGATCAGATTTGCATTCTGGGTGGTATCATTCTGAATTCAGCAAATAGGTGGAGGCCCTGATGCAGATTTTACTGTATAAGTAGGCGTCTTATTAAGTTATGCCTTGGCATAGCAGCTGGTAAAATCAGGTGTAACTTTTGCTTAATTCAAAATGTATTTATTTATTTATTAAACTTATATGGCCACCTATTTTAAATACAATACCCTTAGGTGGCTCACAACAAAACCCATAAAAACAACAATAATCATGTCACCCATACATGAAGTAGCATAATTACCCCTCCCCATTGTGCTCCAATTGATAATTGCAATCAATATTTTGCAAGCATTTAAAATTGTTTCTTTTTTGGGGGGGATTAGATATTGTAATGAAAGAAGAATTAAAAGAGAAAGAGAAAGACATAATACAAAAAGCATTTAGATAGACCCCTCTCTTTCATTTTCCCCCATTCTTTCCTTCTTCTCTGGATGTATTCTGAACTTACATAAACTTTAAATATTATTAATTTAAAAATTGAACGTTTTATAAAATTTACAATGATCATGGACCATGTGCAGCCCAAAACTCAACAGATATTAATTAAACCTTTTTTGGTGGGAGGTGGGAAATGAAACTCTTTATGAAAGGAAGAGAGAAATTAATTAAACTGTTTTTGGAGGGACGAAGGAAAATAAACCTTTTTTGGGGGGGAGCAGGGAAATGAATTGAACCTTTTTTGGAGAGAAGATGGAAATTACAGTAAACCATTTTTGGACAGATGAGGGAAATTAAACCTTTTTTGGAGGGAGATGAATTAAAACTTTTTTGGAGGAGGTGCTCCTTTGTGTGCAGGAGGCTCAGGGGCCTGGAGTAGGTCAGCTACAACTGCAAGATTGGGAAAGGACTGACTACCTGTTGCCCCAGGCAAAATACACAAGCTCGCCGCCTCAGCTTGACTGCAACAGCGAGGGTTGCTTGGCAATGCCACAGTGTAGACTAAGCAGGAACTCCTGTCACTGAGTTGCTGCAGTTAAGCTGAGGTGGCGAGCTTGTGTAGGACTCCTCACGAGTCATGAGCCCATAGCTTTACAGTGACTGAATTTATTATTATTTAAACTTAATTTTGTGTGTGCTTGAATGTTTACATGTGCACGGATTTCATGAGTAGTGTGCAGGCACATGTGTACACCTTAGAGAACACAGCTTCTCACTTGATGTCCCAAATGGATAAGCTCTGCCTAGAGGTGATAAATGTGGTCTGGGAAAACAGCAGGAAGAGAAACAGATAAGGCTTTCATAAGTGCACACATACACAATCTCTCATGGAGAGGGGGATGAAACTAAAATGGACTAAAGAAACTATCAATGGGGAATTGTTGAAGTTGGAGAGACAGAGAAGAAGATGGCTAACAAACCAAGTGGATTCAGGCAGGTTTAACTGCTGGAGAAATGCAAGTTCCAGGGCAGATCTAAGTTCATCCAAAAAGGGCTTTGAAGGAAAGTAAGATCAGCAAAGATAGAGAATCAGGCTTCGGAGGAACAGTCCTATGCAGAATTCCTTTTCTTTTTAATAACTTTATTACTTTTTTAAAAACAGAACAGTAAAAACTAACCAGAACTAATATTAAGAAAAAGAATGAGAAGAAAAGAGAAATTAGAAAAAAAGGATAGTAAAGATCAAGAGTGCAGAAAAAAAGAAAGGGAGACAAAAGAAAAAAGAATTGATTTACAACTCTCCTTGCAACAGATATAAGTAACAATATACATCAAACTCTTGCTCTAAATATACAACATAACTTCCATTATTTCTATTAATCCATATTATTTCTAATCATCATATCCATACAACATAATTTCATTTTTTTCCTGTTTCCTGCAAAAAGTCCAAAAAAG